GAACCATGGAAAACTGGTAGGTTTAAGTACCCAGGACCCAGTTTGGGGGAAAAGATGGACCTCTGAACCGAAACAAGGTCAAGTGCCATAGGAGAAAAGAAGAATAAAGATAAAAAATCAATAAAAAATATTGGAAAAAAAGAAGATTATAAAACCTCATAGATAAAAAAGACAATATATTTTTATAATTTTATTTTTATTGATCGTCCTCAGTATGGGGATGATTCTGCCTATGTCGCCTCTTGGGGGAGGGAGGATGGATCACAGTAGGAAGAAACAGCCTGTCAAAATTAATATGCGATCAGACACTTGTGAGGGCAAGACCTACACAAAACCACGTTCTTTAAATGGATTCTGAGCCCTGAGAAAATGCAACTAGGGGAAGGGAAATTGAAATGTCAGAAGATGCCAATTGCAAAACCCTGGAGCAGAGAGGAAAACAGCAATAAAGACAGAAGCAATCAGCGAATAACCTTAAGTAATCCCAATAAGGCACTGGAGCTGGAAGATTTGTCTTGAGCGCCTGCTGATGGGTTTCATCAAGAACACCAGATATGTGGGCTGACAGCGAAGAAGGAATACTCAATGGGGTTGTTGAATCATGCCCCTGATTAATGCCATCAGTGAAAGATAGTGATGGGAAGCTCCAGAGAAGAGGTAGTTGTGCAGAGAGTGAATTGCATCCTGCAAATGATGACTACGGGCTTCATGGAAGCTAAAACTGAATGACCAGTGGAAACCAGGCGAGGCTGGAAGCTTTGTCGACCAACTTTAAAGAACTTGGCCAGCAAAGCGAAGAGCATAAGCGGCAGTATCCTGATCCAGAAGGTTATCCAGATCAGAGAGATTCAGCGCTAATGTCAAAGCCTCGGTGACTTGGTCCCAGAGTTCAGCGTAGGGGAGCTCAAAATGTATGCTGTTCCCAATTGAGAGCTCAGAAACCAGTAAAGCAGGTTTGTAGAATTGACCAAGTCAGAAGAGGAATTCAGGAAGCAAGTGCGACCTGGCCAAGAATGAATGATACAGAGCGACCAGCATGATCTCTGGAGCATTGACAATGATGTTTGGAGCATCAGCAAAAGGAGCCAAACTTAGGAGGGTTTTGAATATCAACTTAGGAATCAATTGCAAGGGAAGAGTCAGCCAAGAGTTGTTTGAAATAATAGCCAGCCTGGTTTTGGATGGATTGGTTACCATTTCTGGTAATTTGATGGAAGGACTAGCCTCTTGCGCCAGACTAGGTGTATGAGTCCTGGAAGAACCATAGAAGAGGTTCTGTCGAGCATCCCAACTCATCTACTGGAAGAGATGGAGGTCTGGATCAGACAGACTGTTGAAGAGCTGCTAGTAGCGAGATTCTAAATTTGACATATAGACTGGACTAGAGGGGGGATGTCAGATATATATAGAAGTTGACATTATGCACTCCTATATTCCATAAAGCTCCAATTTTGAGGAAATTAATCTCAAAAATTAATGAGATAAGCTTTCTGAGGGAAGAATTAAGAATGACTTACAGCCAAGAGGTTATAAGAAGAATAACAAGGGCAAATAGAAATAAGTATTCTTAATCAAGCTGCAAATTGAACATTGATAGCAAGAGTCTCCTGTCTAGGACGAGGAGAAAATAAGGAAATCAAGGATGCCAGACCAAGAATCCTGAATATGACAGAGGGTCATATACCCTGACAGGGGGAAAACCAGAACCTGGGAATAATATCGTCATGAGTAAATCAATCATCCCAGAATGACAGAAGGTCGTGGGGACCGCGCTCTGAGTAGGCGGTAGCAAGGAGGAAGAGGAAGAACGCCATATGCTGAAGGTCATCCTGAGCAGCATTGAGTATTGATAAGTGTACTCCGCTTAAACCAATGAATTATTTGACCAGGTGTCTGAAGCGGTGTTCTCATGCCCCAGTTCTTTTCTTGCTAGTTATATAGGCGAGAGGGGGGGTGTTGAGATTTTTACCCATATTTTCAGCCTGCTAGATTATCTGGTGTCACTAGGGGAAAATTCCCTAAGGCGAAGTGAATTGAAAATTGGTTGGCCCAAGTTTTGGAGGAGCTACTTTTGGGAGATTTTGGGATATTCACCTGGTCGTATCTGTTGGGGATCAATCCAGATAAATACCTAATATCTCATCGGGATGAGTGGCCAATGAAATAGGGGCATCTGATGGTTATTAACTATCAGGTGTACTGATTGGGATCTGTCAGGTTTCATCACCGACTGATTGGGAATGAGTAGTGAGTTGTGAGGCGAGTGATGCTGCCCGCAACTAGCTATCAATTGGTTGGTGAAGTGACCTGCCACGATGGGTAATAAGTGCCATTACCTAAGCAGGTCGCTAGCCAATTATGATTGGTTCACTTGAATTGAGAGGAAAACGTTAGGGACACGTTTTCTGACTCTTTCCATTTGAGTTATTAAGGATGTCCAATGACAGAATCCTAGCCAGGATGGGGAAGACCATCGCTGCTGAGACAAGGAAGGGTGATTCAATGGCAGTGGCTGCTGTTTCATTAAAGAGGTGTCAACCGCAGGTTAGACGGCTGAATCCCCTACTATATAATTCCCTAGGATTCACTATAATAAAACACATAAAAAACATAAAAAAACATAAAAAACAGCATGTAGAAAAACAGTATTATCAGTATTATTAGTAATATTGTCAATTTGGTGTATAGTTAGACTATCAGCATCCATTGTGATGTTCCATCTCAAGGATATTACTGCAGAAGGCAATAATTGGAAGACTCTAAGAGAGAAGAGTAGAGATCCGAGTGGGGATCTAGAGACTAAGGGAACCACAATCAGGGATAGCTGCCAACTTTGTGTTGGGCTAAAAGAGACTGTCACTGGGGTATCTGGATAAGGATTGGGTGGACAGGAATATAGGGAACAAATCCCTATGAGTATGATTATAGAGTATTTAATTAGAAATACTGGAAGAAACATTGGGCCTAATAATAGTTCAAACTCAACTACAGATAATAGTCTCCATACTATTATTGGATAATATATTATATACAATGCAAAGTGCATAAAGAAATCAGAACTGTGCATTAAAAAGGTTACTGGGTTGATGACCACAATCAACCACAAGAGTAAATTTTACAAGTAGTAAGCTTACTTGTAGTATATAACCTAAAATTTAATAGATTAAAACCAGGATAATACCTATGTTTTTAGCTTTAGTTTCTGTTTACAATATACTTGACCTTTATACTCTTCTGTTGGAGTCTAGATAACCTTAAACATTGATCAGATTCATCAGTACATAATTAATATTGTATTAATTCTTATAACATTAAAGTCACATTTTGCTGCATCTTATTTCCCATTTACATGTTTGTAATTAACTGCTTAAACTATCTTATTGATAATTATAAATCATCTTTTAATCCAGCAGTAGAGCATAAGTCTACTTTAAGTGTGCTACTGAAGATACTCATGGTTCACTTTCCTTTAAGATCTTCCTTCCTTTAGTTTCATTACTGCTATACTCACGTTTGAATCACCTATGCTTTTATGATTGCAAGTCCCTTTCAGAGTTCTTAACAGAAAATTTAACCCCTTTTTATTCATAACAGATTTTTTAGATGAATGTATAACTAAAATTTGCACTCACTTTTTTATTTTATTCGAGGTGGGCCAACCTGGGGTTGATACCACACCAATTAAGGGAAATCGAATGAATGGGAAAGGAGGATAAAATCCGGCAAACCTCCATGCACGGCGTATGATAGGCCAGGAACTCCATGGACCGCCTTTGCTATTCGTTATCTGGGTTCGGGGCGTTGGTGCGCAACGCCAACACAGTCATAATTGTCTCCTACCCAAAGTTCCAGTACCGGAATCGAACTCGGGGAGGCAGCGGTAGAGGTCCCTCTCTACCACTTGGGTATCCTCCCAATTTGCACTCACTTTAAAACTTTTGAAAGCCAAATCTGGACCTGCTTTACTCTCTCAAACATAATGCTAATTAATATGTCTAACTATTGTTACTCTTTAGCAGACTATATCCATATAAAATCATATTTTATTTAACCGAGGCAAGCCGACCAGGGGACGAGCATTACCGAAAGAAAGAAACGACATGAAACCTGAACAGGGTCAACTCCGTCGAAGAAAGTTTTTCCACCTCCGGATCGGGACTCAAATTTTTCTGGTTACGTCATGGGTAAGGTTTTCGTGTTATTAGACCTACTTACCGCCAATAGCTTTCTTTGGCTGGCACCCCGATCGATGTGCGAAGGGCGGGAATCGAACCCGCAACCTTCAGGTTGGTAGCCGTACACCCTTACCGACTCGCCTTCCACCCCCCCATATAAAATCATATAAAATACTGCTAAAAATCTATTTATAAAAATTATAAGTATTTAATTACTATAAAGAATTCATTACTACATAGATAAACCCATATAGAAATATAAATTTTCTAAGCATATATTTTATAAAATATGCCTCTAAACCAAAATAATGGATTATAAATGCCATTGATTCAACATCATATCAAAACTATTACACGTTCATGTTTGAGAAACCTATACATATATATATATTTCTACTTTATCTATCTTTATTTTGTTATGCCTTCTTGAAGATAGCATTCTTAAGTTCTCATTGTTTTCTAAACAACAAACCTTTTAAAATTGTTTCTTGGTCTTGGATGGGAACTGGGTAGTCTTTATAAGAATCATAAAAAACACAGTTTAAAGTGCGATAGGACAGAACTTAGGCCAATATGTAGAGGTGAGACAATCTTGCTGGGCTCTAACACTTAAATGTCTTATATTATTTAAGCCTATTTGTTATGTGCTGTAACAAAAGACAAGGTTAGATGGATTGATAAAGCTTTGTAACTGCGATTTTAGGACATGTTATAGTTGAATAAGCAAGTGTTCAATAACTAAAAGGTTTCAATTTGGCTTCTTTAGTATTTGATGGTTCCATAAGTGTCTATGTGAAGTAAGAAAAAAATATACTGAAAGTTTATTCCGACCACCTGGGATCGAACCAGGGACCTAAGGATATCTAACAAGTTACAGTCCTTCGCTCTTCCAACTGAGCTATAGTCGGTATTTTGGCTTTCAGTTACCTCTTTTTAATTAACCCTTTAAAAATAAAGAGAATTTATAGTAATAGATAAAAATTAATAGGCTAATTTTATCTATCTACTTAAAACACATTCACTGACTGTCTGACTAACGTACTGATGACTGACATATGAAACGTTCGAGTCTGATAGTTCAATCTATTTGGCGAGGGGAGAATTGGCGAATCTTATTGAATAATATACCAAATTGCTCATACAAAACTAAACAAAAATTAGTTAGAATTTTAAGCAGATTAAGTAAATTTAGGATAACCAGCTCACCAGCTGCGAGGGCAACAGCGAAGCTGTTCGAGTGGCTCAAGCGTAGTGCTGGCACAGCCTTTAGGCTGTCAGTGCAAGCTCATAAATAAACCCGAGCAACACTGGGTAACTCCGCTAGTATTAAGAAAATCATTTCAAATTTCAAAAAACTCAATTTCATTCAAAGTTTATAGAGATGTAAAAATCTATACCTATATATAAATATATACCATTTTAGATTTCAAAAAAGACTCCGTTTAATAAAAGCTAAAAATGTTGATTAGAAAACTCTGCTAAATTATAAACCCGAGCAAAGCTGGTAAATTGGCTATATCATATTTTTATAAGTTATTTTTTATACCTTTTTGTAAGTTTCAAATGTATACTTTTTTAAAGCTATATATATCTTCCTTAAAACAGAAATCAAGGTATAAAACCTTAAAACTGTTACAACGTTGTATAACAAACAATTTTGATAGCTAATGTATTCAAGCTACATTTTTTTTGGCATGATATATGTCCTATGGCTGGGGGGTAAGTTCAAAGTATGAGATCATACCTGATGAGCTTAAATGATTATGGGTGTGGATTTTTTTTGCATAGGTTGACCAATAAAATCAACTAGATCTAAAATGAATTATTGTAGATGGCGATCAGTAAATTTAGTATAGATTGACCAATTAAATCAATAGATCTAAAATGAATTATTGTAGATGGTGATCAGTAATAAATTAACTATTGATTTCAATTAAATCAACCAAATAAATAAAATGAGGTAATATATATAGATATCTGAAAGTTTACCATATAATTGACTAATAAAATCAACTAAATAATACAAACTATAAGTAAAAACTGCTAACCTTATACCTGAACCATTAGACTAATCAAGTCAACTGAACAAATATATATATATATATATTTCATAGAATATTTGTGTCAAGTTTATCTGAGATTGGTAAATAGTCTAGGAGTAGGTGTTGAAATAAACATGCATTTATAATGATTTATTTATAAGATGATTTCCTAAACCACTACAACTAAAATGCTATCTAATTTAATATATATTAAATAAATTTGAAATCTACCAGCTACTTGCCTGCTGTCATATACAGTTTTAGTAGGCTAATCCAATCATTACTAAAGTAATCTAACCATCTCAGGTATTATTCTTTTAAAAGTTAAATAATAAAATACAATGATAGTACCCTATCATAACAGTAGATAAAATGTTAAGAAAGTTTCTGACAACCTTCAGCCATAAGGCATATATCATGCGCTTAAGTTTTTTACCATAAGGTAAAACTTGAATCATTTTTAATTTTAAAATGCCATATAAAAATAATTTATTTTTTCAGCTGGCAGTTGGTAATAAATAAAATAAAATAAAATAAATCTGAGGTAGGTCGAACTTGGGACAAATACCACACTGAGAATTTTTCTAGCCAGTACAGGTTTTGAACTCAAAACCTGCACTAGGGTGGAAGCAGTTTTACCTGCCAGAGAGAGAGAGGCTAACCACCCTGGCAGTTAGTAATAACATTTTTAAAAAGATATATATATGCCTAAAATATATTGTGAACCCAAGTAACGCTGAGTAAATTGGCTAGTATTATATAAAATTATTCACTATTATAAAAAACTTAGAAGTGAGACATCTAAGAGAGCCTTGAATAGCTAAGGATCAGGATCTATCATTTTAATTGGCCTTGGAGAACTTGATATGCCCTGAGATTAGATGCTGGTTTAATAAGTTTCAAGGTAAGCCTAAAAATCTTTTGACTTTTAGACTGTGACGCTCCAGCCCTTTGACTTTAATCTCATCCTTACCAACATCAGGGTTTTTTAAGTTGAGACATAGGGTTTTTTTTTTAAGAATCAAGTTGAGATAGATATATTTATACAAGATTGTCTATTTCTTTAGGTTACAAACCTTATTTGGATCAAACACAACCTTGAGTTCTAACGTTACTTATAAAAGGCACAAGTGAAAATATAGATGACTTATAAGTTAAGATTAAGCAATGCATACCACCTGACCATTCATCAACTAGAAAGTTAGAATTATAGTGCAGTTCAGCAGCTCAGAAACTGAGCTCTCTACACTTGTTTGGATTAATGTGTTTTGAGTTTCAGTTTCCTAGAACATATACAAAATTGTAGATATATACATAAATCTTAAAAATGAGGCTGGTGATAAAACAAAAATGAGGTATATACTCATCATGGTGTAAATTATAAGATTTTAGGGATAGGACTGGTAGCACATGTCTTCTTTTGGATAGAAATATGCTTTGGATAGTAAAGTAAATTAAAAATCCTACTAACTTTTGTACACAGGACAATTTAAGCAAACTTGTTTAAAAAACTATTAAAAAATAATGCACAAATATTAAAATAATTAATCTTGGTCTGCAAATGAAACTAGAAAAAAAGAAGACAGACTAATTAGACCAGAAGCCTTAGCTACACTTTATAATTAGTACATGTGATATAATACATAAATTTTAGAGAATCTACCTTGTAATTCTATGTTTAGATAGTATAGTTTTAGATTTTAATTGTAATTAACCTTGCAAAGGTTCAATATAGATATAAAAAGTAATATCTCATTTCTATTATAAACTTTCATCATATAAAATTTCTGCTTGCCATTAAACAGTTTATATGAATGTTAGTTGATAGAACATTAGTACAAACTAGATTGCTGCACAAAATAATATAGATTTAATGTATGCAATTTGCATTTTACAGCTCTAATAAGGGGCAATACCATCCTCCTTCCAGTATTTTTATCTAAAAAAGCATTTTTGGACTATCTCAACAAGAATGCAATGTAAGTATGGTCACTTAATCCCTCCCATAAGACTTATAAGTAAAATTTTAACAAATTTACCCCAAATGCACAAACCTCAATCCTTTGCACCAATCAAAAATTTGCCTTTTACTTTTATCTTTATGCATTTTTTCTTCTTATATGAAAAAAGAAATAAGAAAATTTGATACTGAAGCTTTTACAATAACATAATTAAATTTATTAGACCCAATAGAGGTTACTTTAATCATTTATTTGAATGAGGAAGGCGCCTCCATAGTAGTAGATACTTTTACATAAGTATTTCATCCTTATTATACAAACTTAACTTACATATGACACCATGCTTGTTGTGAATTTTATTAATTTATTTTTACATATTCCCTCTCAACCCCTATAATATGAACAGTGGCAGGTCTTTTTAAGCTATTATACTAACTAGCCAATTTACCCATGCTTTGCTACAGTGTCTATAGAATTTCAGGCAATTTCAAACTATTAGTTTAGATTTTATATTATAGATAAACAAAACCACTCAGCCAAATCTAATTGCTCAATTGAATCAACCAAAAACCACCAACTATTCAGGTAAAACTAAATGAACTTATCAAAACAATCAATAACTAATCACCCCTTAAACTAAACTGTGCCCAATTAATTTGACTGAAAGCCATCAACCACTTGGTCAAATAAAATAAGCCTATCATATCAATCAAATAATACCAAACTGCTACCCAAAACATATCTTTATACTAAAAATCATTGAGTATGTGACATATATTTCAAACTACTAAATCAACATCTACTTAACTTGCCAAAAGTATTTTATTAATTAGGTGAACCAAATTAAGCAGGTTTTTAAAATATATAAACTTAGCATCCAGATATTCATGCTTCACTAAGGTATTTAGTTTATCAAATGATAAGCTCACATTGTAGCCTATAGGCTGTGCCAGCACTACTCTCAAGCCACTTGGACTAACAACTTCACTGTTGCCCTTGTAGCTGGTGAGTTGATTATCCTAACTACTTAATCTACTTAAACTCTAATATTGATTTTTGTTAGTTTCAGGTGAGCAATTTGGTGAATTATTAGATAATATTCGCCAATTCTCACCCACTTACCCAAATAGATTAACCATATCAGACTTGAAGGTTTCAGATGTCAGTCAGTCAGTCAATAGGTACATCAGTGAAATTTTTTTATTAAGTAGATGCTATAAAATGTTTGATAGTATTTTAAATTGCTTAATGCATTTTGATGTACTGAACCATACCACCATCACTCTCCACCACCGTTCCATAGCAAATATAACTTCATATGCATGAAATGTCTCAGCGCCTAATCAATTTTTTGAACACAATTTGATAACCAAGTCATTATCCAACATGGTTTAAACCAAAGCAAAAATTTATAAATCTTACCCTCCATGACACCACCTATAATGAAGCTATCACTACAGATATGGCACTGTTCTATTATTTGATTATAGCTCATTGATGCCCCTACCCCTCAGCCAAAAGTTTTAAAGATAATAAGGAATATTGAACTCTTATTTTTTCCACTCAGCATAACTTTCCAAGCAAATTAAATGAATTAACAAGAAAGTAAATTTTGATTTCCTGTTGTAGCTTTGCTCCAATGTCATCGGATTCTCTGCCAGCTGCTCCAGTGTGGGGCAGTGGAAAAACTCCACCCACCATTTCCCATCTGGCAGGAAAATGTGCTTGGACTGGCTTGTCCAATCATTCCAAACCCATGGGATGATTTGTTCCTCCCAAGGATCTCAACGCCCACCTCACTTGTATCCAAGTGGTATCTTGCTGCCCTTTGGTGCTCCCCCAGAGCAACATGCATTAAAACCTAAGGGTTGACTATGGGAAACTATTCCCATACTATGACCAAGA